CTGTTGTTTAGTTTTCTTAAATAATTTTAGCATAGCAGCTTTAATATCATAAGGCCACATTTATTTTAAAAACATTTTCGATATTCTGAGTACTACCCAGACAGAAGGCACTTGGATAGTGTTTTGTGGGTTTTGTTTTTTTTTTTTTTTTCTTTTAAGCCTTTCTCTAAATAAAATAAACTCTTCCCACCCCTGAATTTTCTGGAGATCATGAACATATTGGCCTGCATACCATGGAAGATAGACATATTTTTTTCACATAATTAGAAAAATCGAGTTTCAACTTTCTTTTAATGTCTTCACTCTTATTAAATCCGAGTTCTTCCGTAAAGTTCTTTCCCTTGCCTTTCAAAAGCTAAGTTACATTTTTCCCCACATACTTACTTTTCATAACACTCCCGCAGAAAATGGAAGGATTCACTGATAGGCAAGACTGACAATGCAGGGTGGAGGGGATTACAAAGGCAGTTCTGAAAAAGTTCTACCGTTTCAGCATAATGGAACATTCTTGTGTATGTTAAGGAGAGATATACCGAGATAGTAGCAGGCAGACTGATAGGGTCATTCCTTATGATGTGTTACCTAATAACCACTGTTGAACAATTAAATTTCATTCTCATGAGAATATATAGTCCTGGGAGCTTGAGGTACATTCCAGATCATTTTGAAATTGTGACTATTAATTTCTTCACTGAGATGCTCTGAATGGTGCTAATGCTTGACTACCAGCAAGTTAGCTCAAGGCCTAGGTCCCTTTGGTCCTGTGACCAATGGTCCTGAAATTTTGTTCCATTATTTCTTATAGTAATGTGTTTACCAAGTATGTATCTAGAGTTTGAACTCAGTTAAGGTTTAAACTAGTAACTTTTCAACCAGTATTATACTGCAGTGTTGCAAATTTAGGTGGTTAGTTTTATGAGATTAGGGAAGAATGACAAAATATTGTTCATGCACTCATATTTCTTTTGAGGTAAGCCTACATAAGTCTCCAGAGTAGGATAGGAAAATCCATCAAGTTTTTAATAAGTCCAACTCCCAACAACTTTAATTTTAATTTTAAAAATGTATAAAGGGAAATAGAACTTTAAAGGAAAGATTATATAGAAATGTCCAATTGATTTGGATTTTCCCCTATGGAATAATGGTTAAAAGTAAACCGTAATAGATTATGGGAGAGTGTGTGTTTCTCCCCTTTAAGCCAGGTGGAAATTAGAAGAAGTTGGCAACTTCTACTGCATAGAATGGGGTTCAGTCTGTACTTGCTGGTTCATTGATTTTCTAATGATCTTTTCGTTTAACTTTGCCATTGCTCATGTATTGACCAAGCAAAACATTTTTGAAATAAAAATCACCCTTATTATTCTTAACATTGCTTTGTTGGCTTTTCTCTAGTCACCTCTTATAAAATCTTCATCTGGGGTGTGTGATATCTGTAGACGGCAAGTCCAGGACAGTTTCAGGAGTTTTGCTCTGCCTTAAAAATACACTGAAGTCAAAGCATCTTTAATTTTTTTCTGATCTTCAGATTATAACTTGTCATAGATTTTGTATCTTGAATTTATATTGCAAAGATATAATAGTGAATGTAGAACCTAACTGTAAAAATAAAATAATATATTCTTCTAGTATTGTATTAATTACCAGTTCATGTTTACTCCTCCTCCTCCTCCCGCCTCTTCTTCCTCCTCCATGACTTTCTGTTGCCATTATTATAGCACAATAGTGCTGTGTTCTGATGTGCATTTGCCTTACACTTCTAATTTCCTTAGCATGAGAACAGAATGTGAATCCTCACTGTTGATAAAATATAGGAAGTAGGGAGGAGCAGAAAATGTTTTTCAAGTTTATGAATTATTTTCCTTACCTTCATGCCTTCTTTTATTTGAGACCATACGAAGAAGCAAGCTTTGATTTAAACAATGGACTGAAGAGCACTCTCAGTATTGTCATAGATCTCAAGATTGAGATCATGCAACATTAGTTTTTAGGTCTTCTCACTCTCTGAAATAGGACAGCCATTTGGCCTAGGCAGTCATTGTACAGCTGAACTGCTAAAAGCTCCAGATGACCTCTGAACTTCATTGTGGCTCTGTAATTTTCTTAAAATACATAATTGAACAGCAACCAAATACTGTTTTATCTAAGTTGAGAGGAAATAGCAATCTGAAAAGGACATGTAATAAATCCTGTTCAAAGCTTAGTTTTTAGGTTACCTGTCATTACTTTGCTTTGTCAAGGGTTTTCATGAACTTATAGCACTTTGTTTTGCATTACATCATAGACTTTATCTTTTCAAGGAACCTGTCCCTAGTGCCAGATAGACTCATTACTCATACAAATCTGGGTTATATTTTTCTAGGAAAATTAATTACTTTATGTGACTACATATGGTTAGCTTGTCAGAGGGAAAACTTTAACATATTTTGGGGAGGTATAATGTAGGCATTTAAGCAGCCTGTTTTTTTTTCTTCCTCTTTGTGCGTGAAATAGTACATTAATATATGCTAGAATTAACATATTTTGTAATAGTTCAGTATCACATGGCATACTGAAGAATTCTTTCTTAAGTTACCGGCACTGTATCCAACCTGACTTCATAATCACAAATGAGGACCAACTGTAAACAGAGATGTCCAGGGCTCATCATACACATTTGAGTACCCATAATTGCATGTTCTACATTTAAGCCCTCTTCTATATTTCTCACTGCTATTGTAAGTATAATAGTGTGGCATCCAAGTTACCAAGGAAAATAAAGATACCTATCTTTTGTACTGTATAAGGGTTAAAAGGGAATCCTGGGAAGTTAATCTGTTTGGATCCATGCAATGTATTTTAAACCAAATCAAATAACTATAGGAAATAAATCACTGTTTAACTCTGCTTTATGTGTTAAAGATCTTAAATGATCAATTCATGTACCATTAGAACTCATTTCATAATAGAATTATCCTTTGTCTTTCTATGAATTTATATTGCTTAAACCGTAAACATTTAATTTTTTAAAATGTCTCTGTTGAGTCTATGGTCTTTTTATTCTCTTAAAAGAAAAATTTTTTTGTCCTAGACAAGAGAATTTGATGTCATTCTTTGAAGCCAAGGAATTTGAAAGCACTTGTAGTACCTTCTAGAGTAGACTAGTTATACTAATCAAGCTCTTAGAGGCTTGCTTATATTCACAGTACACATTTATCACATCATGTGGTTATGTATAAATTAGCTATTTATGTTATTGCTAATGAAACCTTGCAGGCAACGTGAGGATTTGACTCATCTGAAGATAGTCCCTCATAAGTGTCTACTGAGAGTTAATTTTTTATTCTTTGTCAGATGAGTAGGCTGGGCTATATTATCAAGACAGAGTCTGTCCCATCACATTATGTTGGTATCTAATCCAGAGCTTCATGCATGCTAGGCAAGCACTTTACCACTGAGCCTTTAGTCCCATTTATTTTATTTATTTTTGATTTTTAAAATTTTCTGTTTGAGTGTTTTGCCTCCCTGTATGTAAGAACATTGTGTGCTTGAAGTGCCCAGAGAAGCCAGAAGAGGGTGTCAGATCCCCTGGAACTTGAGTTACAGACAGTTGTTAGCCTCCATGTAGGTGCTGGGAACCAAACTCAGGTCCTCTGGAAGAGAGCAGGCGGTGCTCTTGACTACTGAGTCATCTCTCCAGCCCCCTAGTTTCTTTTATTTTACATAGTAATTATCATGTTATTATGACTATATTACATTCTCTTGAACAATCATGATTTTTTATTATGTCTGACTTTCTACAAGCTTCAATTAATATCATATTATGCCCTTTCTTTTAGGAACTATAACAGTGAGACCTCACCTGTTTTAACCCTGTTGTGTTTCTGTTTTGTTTGATTTTTGAGACAGGTTCCCCCTGTAGCTCCAGTTTGCCTGGAACTCCCTATGTAGATGAGGCTGGCCTAGATTTTGCAGAGATCTGCTTGCCTCTGCCTTTCTGCCTCTCTGCCTCTGCCTTCTGAGTGCTGGAACTAAAGGCATGAGCCACCATGCCTGGCTCTTTGTAGTTGTTAATTTTGTTTTATGTCTACCTTTGCTTCAAACTGCTTTTGATACTTACTTGAAGAGCTTAAACAATTTTGCTATTACTGCCCCACCAGTGTTATTGAGTTCTCCAGTTGCTAATGTTTTTAGTCAAGATATCAGTCTTGACTGTGCCAAGTTTATAGCCTGTACCTAAGTAAGTTTTTGCCTCATGTGTTGCTAGAATAGAGGGAGTAAAGTTATAGGGAAGAGCTTGCCCCTTTGTTCTTTTCTATTCTGCCAGTCTTCCACATTCTCAGCAGCAAAACCCTGAGTCCCCAATAGGGTTAACTTTGACATGTGACAGCTCCATGGTTTTGCACCACTCTGTCTCCTGCTACGCCCATGTTTCCTAACTCTGATTCTGCTAATTTAGTATGTGTCAGGAGTCATTCTGCTTTCTGTGTTTCTGAAGAAAGTCAATTTAGTACAAATTGGGAGCTATTTACTCTCCCCCTATCCAACACATACTGTTAGTCAGCAGGGCTTCTGAGGACAGCAATCGCTATTTGAGGCAAACAAACGCTTTTTAGACCTTTCTGAATATGTTTTAAACATGATCCAATGTATGTTAATATTGAACAAAGATTATTTAGTGATGATGTGAATGCTTTGTAATCTGTTTCCTATGTATCCTGTTAACATTTTTTTAAAATGTATTTTTTAAAATGATGTTTACTTGATCACTTAATTAAACAGCAGTTTCATTAAAGCTTTCTTTTCATTGCCTATCTGAATTGTTAATTTTGTTTCTGAGGGATGACTGGATTCCTTACAGAAACAAGCAGATCTTTTCTCTCTCTTCCTGCCATCAGTTTCAGGGGACATATTGCTTCTTTGGTACTGTCATACCAATAAATCATCCCAGATTACTTTCAGTGGTACAGTACTAAAGTATACCATGCATTTTAAAGGAAATCTGCTATTTTCTTTTCAATCAGATGAGCAATGTGAAGAAACTACGGCCACGGCTCAGTGCTATTCTCTTTAAGCTTCAGTTTGAAGAGCAGGTGAACAACATCAAACCTGACATCATGGCTGTCAGTACTGCCTGCGAAGAGATAAAGAAGAGCAAAAGCTTTAGCAAGTTGCTGGAACTTGTACTGCTAATGGGAAACTACATGAATGCTGGCTCCCGGAATGCTCAAACCTTCGGATTTAGCCTTAGCTCTCTCTGTAAAGTGAGTTTGTTTTTTTAACACACATATTTGCCTGAACACTTATTCTTAAATGTCAGCCCTGATTACATTATTTAAATATTTTTATTTTGATGGTCTCATTATCAAGAACTTGAACTGAACCATGAACTCAAACCCAGAGTGAACTGAGCTAATTTACTCAACCTCTGAACTAAATCCAAATATTAATTTTCTCTGATCTGCAAATCCAACTGAAGGATTTGGTTTAATAACTAAATTATATCCTAAACCTATGCTTTCTCAAACCAATGAAATAGAACATCAAAATATCATTTAAGCCTTATGTTTATTTAGTTCATGTACCTGCATTTAATGATGTATTAACTGTTGATTAAGACTGCTGATTTTTTTTTAACCTTTAACTATTTCAGTATTTCCTCTGCATTGTTTTTTTATATGCGGGCTAAAAGAAAAATAGGACTTCTTTATACATGAAAAGAAAATTATTAGGAGTAAACATATCTCAGATGTCATTTGATAAGTTGAAAATGTTTTTATTAAACTGCAGTTTTAGAAGATAGGAAAACTGAGTAAGTTTACACATTGTTTTTTCCTTCCTGGATTCTTCCATAGGTTAAATTTCTTTACAGCAGATAGATTCCATGTTTTGTGTGACAGACCTTTTTCCTAAGGAGTGGGCCATAGTAATAATGCTTTATTGATCTGCTTGCCACAAATTCCTCTCAGTTACATATCACAAGTAAAGCTTTCTCTTGTTCTTGACCTTGTAACATCTATACTCTCTGATTACAGAATTTGATTATTGCCATTGCCAGCTTGGTAGGGAGGTGAGAATCAAGTTCAGCTTTAGAAATGGATTAGTGAATAGTCACCCCTTTGGTGCTTACATTAACCTCAGTTTTCTGATCTGTGCCTTCCGGGTATGTCAGTGTTTCATCAGCTTCTATCTTTTCTATTTTCTTGCCTTTATTGTCATAGTTTTCTGTGTTTGGTTAAGTTCCCTATTACAGGTGACACATTTCTATAACACAAATTGAAGGCTTGTATATCAGTATTTACTCAGGGTAAAATCTTGTGTCATATGGTTACCATATCATCTTAAGGTAGGTGTCTACCTTGTATATGTAGAATTCATTTTTTCACATGACTTGCTTGTTTTTATGTATATATTATGATAATGAGAACCCAGGTCTTTAAATGGAACGGTTTACAAAATGTTATGATAGAAAAGTTAGGCCAGAGAGTCTAGCTTAGCCACTAGAGGGTTGCTAAGTATTTGGAGAAGAATGAAAACTTGAGCTGTATCTTGAAGCATGAGTATCTGTTTCCTGAGAAAACAGACAATCCAAACAAGAGAAAAAGATTTGCAAAACTCATTGCATGGCATGCATGGGTAGTGATCCAGTACCTTTGAATTCTACATGGAACAAGAGTTGGGGAAAATAGGACTGGGGTGGGAAATGAGCAAAGATGTTGAAGAGCCCTAAATGTAAAGTTTTGTAGTGGTGGTTTTCTGGATATAATGTTAGTTCAGTAAGCCAGCTAGTATGATTGGATGTTTTCAGGAGCATAATTCTATCAGCAGTAAGAAAGAAGGTTTTACTGTGCTCTTTAGTGCTATTGCCACTGAGCATTTTTGCCACTTAAGTTTGCTAAGATTTAGGTTAGACGGTATCTTTAGTTCCTTAGTCACATTTACTGCACTGGCTATACATACTGGCCATCCGCCTTTCTACCACTGCAGTATGTTCTACTGAGAAGAGCTAGGTGAGATGGTTATAGTGCCAGAAATTTGGTGAGTGGTTGACATGTAGTGCCTGACCTCCAACAGTGACAGAGTATTGTCAAAGTAAGAAGAAAAGAAAAGGTGGTATGGTAGGAGAGAAGAAAAGGAATAAATCAAAGATAATTTCTGCCTTTGTTCCTGCCAGCTGGTGGACAGTAGTTGTAATGACGTGCTAGAGTGTTTGAACAGAAGGGGACCTAGCAATTGTTTGCGCCTTGTGTACCTCACTACCTTAATGGACATCTGATTTAAGCCTCCTTATTCAGTTACTTAATAAATATTTTGACGTCCGTCTGCTACATTCTTATCACTGTAGGTTGGGATGCAGAGTGAGGTCTGAGCTAAGATAGTAGCAGTGGAACATAAAGTTGAGAAGTAGGGTTGATGGGAAAAATGTAAAATTCCACATAAGAGGCATTGTCAGGGTTTGGCAAATGTAAGGGGTTGAAGGAGAACTTGGCAAGCTGGACTACCAAATTAAGACTTTTCCTGAGAGGGAAAACAAAGGAAGCAAAACAAGATGAGGAAGAAGGCACTGGAGAAGTCTCATCCATACCTGCAAATTTACTGGGGTTTGTTTCCCAGCACAAAGTACCTCAGCAGTAGAGTTCATGTACTGAAAGTTCGCTGCATGCCCTCCTTCATTCTTTCATCCTCAAAGAGTTATTGGTAGGAAACTAGGTGTGATTAATAAGGTTGAATAGCTGAATACAGTGTTTGATACATAGTAAATAGTGACTGAATGAGCAAAAGTTGTTTCAATAGATAGAGTGTAGTATGTCATGTGTATTTTGTATTGGAAAATAGACATTGTGTCCTTGAGATACAGTCATTGATGCATAATAATTTTAAAAGCTTACAAATATAATGCATGCTGTTACTCTTTACTACAGCTGGTCTGTAAACCAGTTAATCTAACTCCAGATAAAAAGTTGTATGTATTTATTTGTATGCATTATTGCTGGATATTTTGATTGCCACACTTAGGAGCCTTCTGTTGTACAAGAAACACACTGCAACTTCATATTTTTATTAGTCTATATGTCACGTTGAAAGATGCTATCTCATTCTGTTTGTTATCAGAACTAGCAGCTTGATCTTTGACAGTTATGATTTAATTTTTCATTCTGAATATAAGGCATTTGTTTTCTTGATAAGTCCTTACATATGGAATTCCAGGAAATATTTTAATCTGTTAAAACATGCTGAGTAATTATTTGACATTTAATATTATATGTCTAAACCTCCTTATTTTAATTAAGCTTTAAGTTTAGATATGAAAATGCATAATTTTTAAAAAGTGACATTGCTGTGTTTAGGATTCAAGACAAGAATTTTGAACTCCATACACATTATAGTTTAGTTTTCATATTTACTGTTTTCATATGAATTTGTAGTCCAGATTGCTAACTATGATATCTCTGTTTATGTGGGTAAACGGCTTACTTCCTTATATTTGAAATATGCCAAGAGGTAAATGACAAATGGATGCAAAAGTAAATATGAATTATGAGGTAAACATCAACTTGAATCTTTCATCAATATATAAATAAAAATTAAAATTGATGAACAAGTATGGGTTTTCCTGGTCAAAATATAGTACACATATTTCTGAATCTTTTCATGAGCTAAAATTTATGGGTTCTTTTTTTTATTATTAATACTGAACTTCACAAGCAATTTTGCACCTGTATCTTTATAAAAGGAAATGTTTTACACAGTGTTCATAGAGCAAAAGAAGAAGAAATTTCATGTGGTTCACTCTTTCAAGACCATCCTTCTCTCCCCTCTACTCTCTGCTTTCTGCCAAATTTGTATTCAGGGCTATTTAAATGTGTGGGGATTCCATAAGAGACCTTATTCAAATGTAGTTTTCAGTCTCAGTAATAATATTCCTAGTTTAGGTAAAATGCTATGAGTACTTTGCCCCGATTTTTCAAAAGGACAAACCTTAGAATGTAAATGGAGGACTGTTTGCCAATCAAGAAATCCTCCCAACATAGTACTTTGGACTTTAAATAAAAATTAGTAATAGTCATTTTGAGTTTTTGTACACTCAGTCATCCATACATATTTTTCCTGCTACTGATAAAATTTAAATCCCATTCTGTTAGAAATCCATAAGGATGATGGTAGATACTTGTTTGACCAAAATGATTACCTGTAAAAAGTCTGTTTCTGTTTAGTTGATAGGGATTATTCTTTAAGAGAACCCACTTAGTATGGACAAAGTTTTTCACTTCTGACTAAATTAGCATTCTAACTAACTAATGAATTGACCCAATAATTGTAGTTCAGCATTACATTAAAATATATAAGTTTTGACTTGTAAATTTAAGGAGCAGATGGTTCAAATGTGCATATAGTGGTGTTGACATGAATTTATTAATGATTACTGATATCTAATGAGATATGTGATTTCTGAATAACAAATCCTGATCAATATGATGGGATGCTGTAGCTTTTTGTTCTATATAATTCAGGTGATTTTCTATATTGGGGTAATTGATAGAAATTTTAAAACTTCTCAACTGTAATAATTAATTTTGTCAGTATTTATGCTAAGATCCCCCCCCCAAATTGTAGAATCTATTAATTTGACTTTATCCACTTTATCTCTTGTAGGAAACTTTCTATTGTATATGTCAGTAGACCATGAATAAGTTCATGTTAATGTTAGACATAGTAGTTGGCTATGCTTTTGGAAGTGGGATGGAAGGACGTTGAAGGGGCAGACAAAGAGAATTTATGTCTGAGTTCTTTTTTTCTAGTGCAGAATTTTCTATATGACCTTCTGGATATTTCTTTTCACTGAAGTTGTGATGGCAATGATTTAAAATGACATTGAATTTCCATTTTCATTAATGTGTCTACCAACAATAGTGACTGGCTTTTGAAATTAGTGAACATCTCTTTTCTCTATCTTAAATCACATTGATTTGCAACCTGGAGTCCTCTTATAAAGGCATAAATGCCTTATCTTCTTCATCAGTTCCTGTAGTTGAGAATGTGTAGGTGTGGACCCTGATCAGTGGCATTTTAGAATAAACTCCCCAGGTGACTGTAACGCTCAGCCTACTCTGGGGTTATTTTATGTCTTTTGTCCTACTTACATTACTCAAAGTGGAAAATCCCTGACTGATTGTCTGAAAGTAACCAGCCAACAACAAACATAAAGATATGAAAACTAACCAACAGCAAAACAAAAACAAAAAGAAACAACTTAAGGCTAAGT